TCAGACTTGCAAGATTCTGTTAATGTAGCCTTACAGTAAAGTAGAATTAGCTCATCTGGTCATGCTACCTGTCTGGTCTACCTGGGGAGGCTGACACATGCCACATGTCAGTCTCTGCTGCTCTTTCTCCTCTCCAGCATCAAATAAGGTGACAGCACCCACCAATTTTACCTGGTGCTGTACTTTCCATTTGCTATGGATTGGAGAGGAAGTCTTGCCTGCTCTAAAGGACTCTTATTACAGCACTCAAAGGCTGTGACATCTTGCATCCGCCGTTTCAGTGTCAATCGAATTCCTCTGGTTTTAGGGCCTCCAGTCCTGGGAATGCTGTTGTTTCCCACTGAATCCTTTCCTTGAAATAAACCAAGGGTGATGAACTCACATTGTTGTTGTAAGATCTGTCTTATACATGTGCTTACTTTTCTTTTTTTTTCTGTTGACTTTTCCAGACACTTTGCTATCTGGTCTTCAGCTACAGAAAGGTAAACTGGGGGGAGGGGATTGATGAAGGCCAATTGAACAGGACTGATTTGAGATATGTCAGCAAGATATTTCTTTTCATCGAGTTGAACCAGTTGAACCAGTCTACTGAGGGACTCTGAAACTATAACTGGATTTATTTATTTGGTTTTTAAACTGCCACGTTGATGCAGCTCTTGGCGTTGTAAAAGGGAGAAAAATCCAAAGGAAATAAAATCATAAGAAATATTTAAGATTGTCTTAAAACCAGAACAGGTAAAGAATTCTGCAGTACTATATTCACTAATTAAGAAGGTGTTCTAGAAGAGTTCCTTTTTAATCTGCTTCTCAAAAGCCAACTGGGTTGGAGTAAGCCTGATCTCTGGTGATCAATATTCCATCAGAACTGGGCCGTCAAGGAGAACCATCTTCTCCTAGCTGTGGCCTCTCGGATCTGGGGGGGGGGGGGGTGTCTACCAACAGTTTTTCCCCAAGTTCCTCATATTGGATGGTTGAAGGAGGTATTCCTGTAGCATTAGGTATGACTAATAAGAAGAACCAGCAAAGGAGGAATTCTGTGCCCATGTTCAGAGGTATCCACAGGAGGGGGCCAAAATCTGCATGTTGGTGGGCACAGTGTCACCATCCAAGCCCATCCCTTTGGCATGTGTACATGTACAACAGGGGTGGCACCTGGATTGTGACACCATGCCTGCTGTCTTGGAGATGTTGACCCTCCATATGGATGCCACTGCTCACGTCTGTTTTTTATTCATGGGGTTTTATTATGTACCTTTAAAGATATATACGTTTTCTCCTGATCAGGTCATTTAGTCAAAACAGAGACCGAGACTCTTTTGGAGCACCCATAAAAAGGGGTTTTGTTTGTTACCAGCATCTAGAATTTATCTCATTAAAAAGCCCCTTATCACCTGAGATAACTCTGAATCTCCTCAGGGTGACTTATATAAAAAAAGATATAATGTAATAAAAGATATAACTGGAGAGCCATTTTGGTTTAGGGTGAAAGTGCTGGCCCAGAAACCAGGAGATGGTGAGTTCTAGTCCTGCCTTAGGCATGGACGTCAGCTGGGTGACTTTGGGACAGTCTCTCTCTCTCGCTCAGCCCAGCCCACCTCACAGGGTTGTTGTTGTGGGGGAAAATAGGAGGAAGGAGGAGTACTAGGTATGTTTGCCACCTTAAATTATATATATAAAAAGATGGGATAAAATGAATCATCTTCATCATCATCGTCATCATCACCATCAGTCAATTGCAAAAGGCAGCTTTACTTAGAACTGCTTATATCCTGCGATGATACCTTTAACCCCATCAGACAATAACATCTGCCTATCCCAGGTCCTTGGGAAGGACTC